CCGGGGGCTGGGCCTGACCCCCCCTGGCCAGCTGGGCTGCAGCAGGTGGCGGTCCCTTTCCTGCCCTCACCTCCCGGGCCCTCCTGCCTCGACCCTGGGCCCTGGGGCGCTGGGAGAGGTCAGGGCTGTAGGGAGAGAGAACTTGGGGGAGCAGCCTGGGCACAGCCAGTCTGGCTTCAAGCCCGGCCCCAGCGGCTCGCCAGCTACGTGACCCTGAATACGTTTCCTAAGGTCTCCATAGCCCGGCCTTTCCTCTGTGACAGGGCGCGTGCCATCTGCTCTGCCGCCTCACAGAGTGCCACAGACGGGACTGAACGGCGGACACTGGTTCCCACAGCTCCGGAGGCCGGAGTCCGAGATAAAGTGCTGGCCGGGGTGGCCTAGAGGACGCCTTCTCGCCGTGTCCTCACATGGTCTTCCTCTGTGTCTCCGCCATTATTTCCTCTTCCTGCTTCCCAAATCCGCCAGTCATGTTGGACCAGGGCCAGCCACATGACCTCATATAACTTAGCACCTTCGTAAAGCCCTGTCTCCAAGCACAGCCACACGCTGAGGCACTTACTGAGGGTGGGACTTCAACATATGAATTTGGGGGACATCAATTCAACCCATACAGGATGTCATAGGAGCCCCAGCCTCAGAGGTTTGGTGTGAGAATGACTCATCATGAAATGTAGCTTAGCAGGCCCGGCTCTGCCATCTGTCCTGGGACGATGTTCTAGTGATAACCTCACAGGCCAGGGTGTGCGCAGGCCTGCACCCCTGCAGCCGAAGGGGGAGAGAATGAGGTGCCTGGCTCAGGTGGGCCTGCCCTGCCCACTCTACCACAGGGAAGGGCAGGCGCCCAAGCTCCCAAGTCCAGACCACACCCTCGGACCGGCGGGCATAGCCCAGCTCTAGAGGGGATGGGGCAAACTAGTGCAGGACTCTCTTCCTCAGATGGGGAAACTGAGGCACGAAGAGGCCAGGCAGGGGGCTGAGATTCACCAGGGCTGTGGGCCCAGCCCAGGGAGTAGTGGGGCTGCTACTTGCTCCACCACGTGCTCCTGGCCGCCTGGTTCATGCGGTGGGAGCAGCAGGTGGGCCTGGCCTGAGCAGGGGAAGGGTCCCCGGTGCCCCGGTCCACGGCCCTTGCCCCAGGCCCGCTTGGCCGAGCCTCCACTTCCTGAGCTGGCTGCCGGGACAGGCGAGGCTGCCGAAACCCTCCCTAAAAAGGAATCAGGCTGCGGTGGCCAGGCTATTTTTAGACAATTGTGTTGAAAAATCCCCAAAGTACGTGTAGCATCATGCATTTCTTTTTCTTCAGGAAGGAAAAAGGAGAAGGAATAAGTGGATCCCCCACCATGGGGAAGGCCCTCCATGGTCCCCTCCGCGGAGAGGCAGTGGCCAGGGCCCTGCAGCTGCCCAGCCCTGGGTCTAAGAACTCAGGGGACGGGCTCACCTGGGCCTCCGCCTCTGCCTTCAGGGGGTGCAGGGCACAGGATCACCCCACATCACAGCTGGGGGGACTGAGGCCATGCTGCCCTTGTCCCCATCCTTCAAAACACAGCCTTATTGAGGTACAGTCGGCACATCGGAAACTGCAGATATTTAAAGTGTACAACTTGATATGTTTTGACAGATGTAGACATCCATGAAGCCATAATTAAGAGAGGGAGCACACCCATCACCCCCAAACATTCCCCAATCCTGTTTCCCTCCCTGCTCTCGGCAACCACTAGTCTGCTCTCTGTCACTGTAGATCAGCTGGCATTTTCTAGAGTTTTCTGTAAATGGAATCATACAGTATCTCCTCTCTTTTTCTCGACTGGCTTCTTTAACTCATCATCCTTATTTTGAAATCCATCCACGTTGCTGCAGGTAGCGATGGTTCATTCCCGTACGTGAACGGGCCACAATTTGTTTACCTGTTCACCTGCTGATGGACATAAGGCAGCTCTGGACACCCATGAACAACTCTTTGTAGGGACAGATATTTCCTTGTCTTTGGGGTAAACACCTGGGAGAGGAGTTCCTGGGTAGCTCTATGTTCAACTGTTTAAGAAACTGCCCATCTGTTTTCCACAGTGGCTGCACCTTCCCTCGTGCCTTCCCACCAGCAATACTGAAGGAGCCCAGTGTCTCCACAGCCTCACCAGCACTTGCGATTGTCTGTCTTTTTGGTGACGCCCATCCTAGTGGCCAGTCATCTCCTTGCGGCTTTGATTTGCGTTTCTCTCATTGACTAATGAGGGTGAACATCCTCTCGTGTGCTTGTTGGCCCAGATCTCACTTAAAAAATAAATAAACGTTTAATTTTGGAATCATTTTGGATTTACTGAAAAGTTGAAAGATGATACAGATACCCAGATACCCCTCACTCAGCTTCCCCTTATACTAACCCTTTATATTCCCTGGTACGTCTGTCATAACCGAGGAGCCAGCGTTGGAACGTTACTATGAAGCTCTCAGCTGGATCCGGACGTCCCCACTTACAACGCTACCGTCCCTTTCTTGCCCCAGGATCCCACCTTGGAAAGCCACACGCTGTTTGGTTGCCGTGTCCATTTCTCAGACTTTCCTTGCTCTTGCTCTTGACACGTTGGAGGCATATTGGTCAGATTTTTTTGCAGAAAGTTCCTCGATTTTGTTTTTTTCTGATGTTTTCTCACAAGAGGACTGGGGTTCTGGGTTTTGGGGAAGAAGACCACGGAGGTGAAGGACCTTCTCCTCCCACCCTCTCAGGGGCCTGTGCTCTCCACGTGACTCACCGCTGCCGACGCTGACCTTGGTCATTGGTGACGTGGTGTCTGCCAGGTTCCTCTACTGTAACGTTACCATTTCCTCCCTTCCCCAATTCTCTACTCTTTGGACGGGAGTCACTAAGTCCAGCCCACACTCAAGTGTTTAAGCTCCCCAGTCTTACTTTTATTTGAGGGTCTTCTGTGCCAGGCACCTCACGCTGACACTCAATCCCTATCCCCACCGCTGTCCCTCCAGGAGAGATCCCAATAATCCCTACACTTGGCAACGTTTCCAACGACAAAGGATCGGGGTCATTCAGCCAAACCCTTGCTCACCCTTTTTACAGATGAAGAAACTGAGGCCCAGAGAGGCGGTGACTGACTCACTTATGATCACACCACGACCAGAAGGAACATGGCCTTGGAGCACTGGACCAGGGCGGAGCCCGGGCAGGATGTCCTGGCCCGGAGTCACCGCTCAATAGGCATTGATTGGCAGGTGAGGTGGGCAGGTTGAAGGAAGGATAAGGGTTTTTGTAAGTGATAAGGTTCCTCTATGGACAATGTAGGCAGCCATACAGGACACCTGCCACCTCCCACTTACCTGCACAAACCAGAGAAGCAAGGATGCATGATGCCAAAGGGCAGACAACCCCACACTCTGCTGTAAGCATTGAATGCCCTCCCCCCCCAGGCTGGCCATACAGCAGAAAGGCTGGGGGAAGCTGGATTGGGGTTCCAGCTGGCTACGGATGACCCTTACATGGTCAGTTAGGGGCTAGGGCCCCATAGTGAGCAGACACAGGTGTGAGCATAAAGTGGAAGGGCAGTCGATTAATACATATCAAGGGCATTAAAAATGTTACTGGTTTTTGCCCTGGTTCCCGCGGGGTGGCCATGGAATCAGATGATCGATTGGATCCTGGGTGGAATGAATATAGGAAATGACTTATCACCCCGAGTCTCAGCGCTCCCATCTATAAAATAAGGGTGGATATGAGAAGGGCCTTTCTTGGGGTGTGTGTGAAATTAGGGTGTTAAAGTGTGATTAATCCACGGGCTGGCCAGCCATATTGTACAGGCACTTCTAATGAACCCTCTATACTTCCAGGACCCAAGACTCGATCTAGTTCTGTGTCCAGGTGCCTTTAAGGACTCAGTTGCCTGAGCTGACCAGGAGGGAGGCTGCCCTCAGAATGCGGTTGCATCAGCTCCAGAGGGCCTTTGGGGTGGGGGTGGGGGGCGCTTCTCATGCCCGAGATGCCAGAGAGCTAGGACCCCGCCCAGCCCAGGCGGCGTCCCTGCTGATGGTGCCATCTGTCTGCACCATGCACGCACTGGGGCACCAGCTGGCGAGGGGAGCTTGTGGGAGGGCAGCCCACAGCCCTCACTGCTGCTCATGAGTGGCCTCTACGCGGAGCTACCACACAGAATCCAGCAATTCACACCGACCGCCTGTGCTCTGGTCACAGGGTCCTTACATGTGAAAGAGAGAGGCAGGAGCCAGCGCTGGAGCAGGAGATGCGACAAGGAGGATCAAGGTCAGACGACTCATTACTGGCTTTGAGGGTGGAGGGAGGGGCCATGAGCCCAGGAATGTGGGCAGCCCCTCAAAGATGGAGAAGGCCAGGAACAGGTTCTCCCCCAGCCTGC